TTTCCAACACTTTAAAAAAATGTTCGTAAAAAACAGTAAGAGATGGTTTTTTTTTAAATATTTTATTATTTAATTATAAAACTATTAATTAGATTTAAAATATAATAAAACAGTCTAGTAAAATTTTAAATTTTGTTGAATGTATTGAATTCATTCATAGTTTTGAATCCAATTCATTGACCAATATTTTTAATAATGAATATATTATTTAGATTGAAAGAATTTTTAATTAATAGATTTAATTGTCATCCTAATAAGAACAATTTTGTAAAAATTTTGAAAAATAATTAAAATAACTTGAGTTTTATATAAATTGTTTTTTGCTATTTAATTAAAAAATTATTTATTAAATTTATAATAAAATATAAAATTATTTAGTAAAATTTTAAAATTTATTGAACGAATTGAATTCATTTTTAAATTTTTTTTTCATTTTTTCATTACTTTAATTATGAGTTGGAGAAAATAGTTTTTATCTATCATGAACCTACAATCTAAGCCAATACGCAGCCATTGACTTTTTATTATGTTAATACAAAACCTAAATAAGTAAATTAATAAGAGTAGGTAGTTAAATAAAATGAGAAACGAACGTGGCTTAGCACAGCACGCAAAACCTGACGATACGGTTCTCGTACTTCCATTACACGTCACTCCTCTTCCATCTCTCAATCCTCATCCGTACATACATCGTTTACTTTTTCCTTCTTCATCATCTTCCAATTTCTCTATATATGTTCAACATTTCTCTTCTTTCTCTTTCACAACTAAAAAAATGTATGAATTGCAACAGTTTGAGTTTCTTCATCAAGATCATCAGATTACGATGAAGATGGATGATATGAGACGAAAGAAGAAGAAGGAGACAAAAAAAGTATCCACGAAAGAAGATAGGGCTCGTGTTGTTGACTTGAATTGCATGTCTTTGGACTCACTTCCGAAATTTTCCATTGATTTAGCTTTCATTCGAAAACTGAATTTGTCTAACAACAATCTTCAGGTACCGTCTTCAGAAATCAAAATCAAATTCAGATCTTCAAAAGTTTATTTATTTTTTATATATATTGATTAGAAATATTAATTAATTATATATGACAGAACATTCCAGAGTCGTTAACGGCGAGATTACTGAACTTGGAGAAGTTGGACGTGCACTCCAACCAGCTCAGATCTCTTCCAAACTCCATTGGTTGTCTCTCTAAGCTTCAAGTTTTGAATGTCTCTGGAAACTTCATTGAGTCTCTCCCTGCAACCATTGAAAATTGCAGGTTTATTTCTTTATAATTTCTCTCTCTATTTTCTGCATAATTAAAGTAATATCTTACTAAATTACATTTGATTTATATATAATTTAGATATATTAATTATTTCGAACACCTATTTTCTATACTCTTACCGGTTGGACCATCAAAGCTTTGATGATAAGTAATGATAGGACATATGTTAAAGCTTATGTGTGTCTTGTTATTAATGATCACATTGACTATTACAAGTTTTTTTTTTCTAACATATATTTGTACATATGAATTTTGACCACCAGAGCCTTAGAAGAATTGAATATCAACTTCAACATTCTGAGCAAGCTTCCAGACACAATGGGCTTTGAGCTCATAAAACTAAAGAAACTTTCAGTCAACTCCAACAAGCTTGTCTTTCTTCCTAGCTCCACCTCTCACCTAATGGCTCTTACGGTTCTCGACGTACGTTTGAACTGTCTCAGAAGTCTCCCAGACAACCTTGAGAACCTCATCAATCTTGAGACCCTGAATGTCAGTCAGAACTTTCAGTATCTGGAGTCCTTGCCATACTCTATAGGACTCCTCTTGTCTCTGGTTGAACTAGACGTCAGTTACAACAATATCAAAACATTGCCTGATTCCATTGGTTGCCTTCAAAAGCTCCAAAAGCTAAGTGTGGAAGGAAACCCGCTTGTTTCGCCTCCGCCGGAGGTAGTGGAGCAGGGACTGCATGTGGTGAAGGAGTATATGTGCCACAAAATGAACTCCGGCGATAAAATGCCAACCAAGAAGAGATGGTGGAAGGTTAAATTAGGGACCTTTAACGGACATGTGAGAAGTGGGAAACATCTGAAACATGAGGCTTTCAGCCCGCTTCAGTATCAACCGATGAATGGCCTTGCATCACCAGGCTTCATGTGGAAGTTCTCGCCTCTTCGCCTTTTCTCACCCCGTCGTTCCTTAAGTTGAGATGCAGCAAAATAGTTTTGTAAAATATCTGCTAAACTCATTTGGCTTTTAGTTTTAATAGCTTTGTTAATTTTGAATGCCGACAATCAGGATATGAGTGCTATGAATGAGAAGAATAACTGTTGGTTAGGATGTATATATAGGATATATATGCATAATATTGTACTTGTATCTTGTATTTGAAATTGAAAATGATGGATTTGTGAAACTCTTAAATTTGTTCGCGTAATAGCTCATGCCATGGGAAACTTGATCAAATATAACTTACCTTTGAAATAAGGATGTATGCAAGTAGGCATCACGGTGTTTATCGCACTCAAATCTAAATCCGAATTTTCAAATAATTCTCGGTTTATGCTTGATTCCCAACGGATATGGAGAATTAAAATTTAAACATGTCTCAAACGAATTTGGGTTGGGTTCGGGTATCTTTGTCCCGTCATTATTCATTTTGTAAAGTCAATTTTTAAAATAGAAATATTGTTAAACATCAAATTGCATCACAAATAATAAAATAAAACAATCTCTCAAAATGTTACATTACGACGGCGAGAGGACGAACTCTTTCGGTACAGCGAAGCCAAGAGGATCTATAAGGTTTGCATTTTGACGCCAAAGTCAGTTAAGTTTTAGAAATGTAGTTTAAGAGTGAGAATGAGGTCATACCTGAAATGGTGCGTCTTCAAGTTTATATGTGGTAGATAGTTTAAATTGCTTCGACCCAACCCGATGTGAGATGCTAAGAGTCGTTCAATTACATCTGACGACAACCAATGCACTAGTAACTAGGATAAAGTGTTCAGTCACTAGAGAGGTATAACGTGTTCTTTTGTTTGTTGGATAGACACTTTGAACTTATTCTCATAATTGGGTCCTCCTCTTTGCACTTGTGGTCAGTCCGGAACGAATCCCCTCCCCCCCCCCCCCCCCCACGCGCTAAGTTCTTACTGGTAGTTGGTGAAGCGAGGATTTACATTATCGGCCTACGTTCTCATGCTATTGTATTCTTCATGGACTAACTCTCGGCCTACGAAAGGGGAAAACTTTGTTGACTTGAATCACGTGGCCTTGAGAATATGCGTGATAAATTCTTGTCGTGTAGCCGCAATGTTTCGTAAAGTGAATTAGACAAGTGACCCTGGTGTTGCACCCCAAAATTTGACCAACAATTATTCATTCATTGAGTGTTTGAAAGTTGGTATCTTCATCAGAAAGTTCTAGAGATCCTCAGAAGAGTTGGTTGAAACCAGGGTTGTGTGCTCCAATAGCTTGAAAGTTATGGGTGCCCCTCAGATGATTTTGAGACTTTGAGAATGAACTTGATGTTTTGAGAAAGCTTATGAGATGCCTTGATAGCCTTCACGAAGCCCAGAGAAGTCATTGTGCAAGAATTCAGAAGATTCAACCATGAATGGTAGAATTAGGGTTTTGACTGGGTCAGCCCTAGGATAACTGAAGATTTGGAGAAGGTTGAGACTTAATCCAAGGGCCATGAGATCATGGAATGATGTATAGAGATGTTATAGAGATGATTCCTAGACCAACTCATCATGATTGAAGAGTTTGAGAAGTTTTGAGTTAGGGTTTCTGAGGATTATCAGTGAGAAAACCCTAGTTTGATCCCTATCTTCCAGGCAGTTTTAGATGTGATTGACATCTCATCTTCCCCACAACATGAATGTTGTAGAGCTTGTTCTTAGCTTTAATTTGAGTGGTGGAAGTCCTTGATAGGAGTTACAGAGTTCAGGTTATGGTTTTGACAATTTACAGGTCAGCAGAGGTATGTGAATCTGGGTCCTTGAAAGTCACCCAACTTGCAGACAACTTTTGCCCTAGTAGGATGATTCCTATGATTTCTTGGTCAACATGAATGTTGAAGAGGATCTTCTTAGCTTTAATTTGAGTGATAGAAGTCCTTGATTGGATTTGTGGAACTCAACTTATGGTTTGAACAAGGCAGGGGTATTTTGGTCATTTGTCAGTTATAGGTCATTTTAGCCAATGCCTAAAACTCCTATTTCCAAGCCTCAAATGGAAAAACTCAAAACATGAAAGTTGCTCAAAATGTGATTTTAAGTCTAGAAAGAAGGTCACAAATTGTCAAAAAAGCTCATAGCATGAGATTCCATGATTGGTCAAAAATGAACTAAAAATGACTTATAACTTTGAAAAGTTGAAATTGAAAAGTGATTTGGGAGATCCACAAATCCAAAATAGGTCATCCAATATATCATTTTGATTGGAAAAGCCATTTTAAGAACTTTGGTTTAAGTAGAATTTTCATTTGAGGCTCCAAAAATGGACTTCCTTTGGAAATTTCTTACTTGAAAAGAAGGTAGCATTGAAAAACCTTACACAAGCCAAGAATGCCCTTGTTTTTCACTCATCCACACTCAATAACTCATGTAAGGAGAATTTGGCAATGAATTGCAAGGCATAGCATATGGTATATGAGAAATCCAACATGGCATATCATGGAACTTTCATGAAACTTCCACACCCTTCTAGATGAATCTAGAAGCATCCATCAATTGTTATAAAAAGTGTGCATCAGAGAGTGATGAGAGGTTGGTGAAACTTGAGCCAAGTCAGAGGAGAGAGAGAGAGAGATAGCCATTAAAGCTCTTGCTTCAAGTTGAAGCAACTAAAGAATTCTTCCATTACAAGTCTTCTTCTTCAAGAATTGTGCAAACAGAAGGCTATCCATCATCAAAGGATCATCCTGAAGGATTTGCAAGCCCTGGTTCGAGCCATAGCATCACTCACCATAGCTTCTTGACAGGTTGGTGAACTCATCTCTTTCTCTTTATTTATGCTTAGATAGATCATATTCTAGGTATAGAATGATTGTGTTAGGGTAGAGGATTAATCCCTGAGAATTAGAGCAAGATTGGTGAGGTTGTATAACAGAACCATGATTCTTGGATCTTCAAGAATTGGTTGTTTAAGGAGTTTTAATCAGCATGAATTGGTTTAGAATAGCAAGGGTAACTTGTAGAACATGATTGCATCATTATACTGAAGTTTAATGAAGGTTGATATCAGTTGGAAATTTTGAACCGTGTTTGTACCAAGACCTTGAAGTGTTCTGTTTGGATCATTGAGAATGAATCAAGAAAAACTGGTCGTACCATTGTGTTCTAGGCATTTAGTAGGTGATTTCTTGTTTTGGAATCATGACAAGCCGTGGCGTGTAGAGAGAGCTAGAGGAGCTCGAGTTTGAGCGCATGGGGTGAGGTTTCTGAAAACCCTAGGGCGTTTGGAGAAGACGAAAGGGAAGCCGTTGGATCAAGTCCCAGATTTGACTAATTCTCCCAATCGTGTGGCTGTGAGCGCGTCTGAGAAAAGAGAGGGAAATTTTGAATCCAATGAAACGCAGCGTTTCATTTAGGGCGTTCTGGGCCCAGACTCCTATTCCCACCCCCCTTCTTTGTTGGCCCATTTCTTTGAACTAGCGCGCGTTGCTTAATACACCCCCTCCCTTTAATTCATTTTATTTCTTTTTAATTTTCTTTTAATTTTGTCTGTTTTGATTAATTCATTAAAAATTGATAGAAAATGATTTTTAACTTCTTCTTTTTTCTATGAGTAGATTAAAATGTGTAGAAAATTATAAAAATAAAATTGAGATTTTATTTTTAGGTTTAATATTTTTAATAGATTTTCTAGCTAAATAGCTTTTTAGTATGTTTAATTTGGTATGTGATTTTGTAGGATTTATTTTAGAACATTCCCTTAGGGTTTTGTATCCATTCTTTTTTGTGCAATTAGATGATGAGTCATAGTTCCCCATAGGATTTTTTCTAGATTTTTAGAATTAAATCTTGATTAGTTTAATTAGGGTAGACCTAGGGTGTCCTGATTAGGGTTTAGGATGTGTTTAGGTGATGAATCATTTTCTTTGATTGAGTTTTATCTTGATTTTTAGGTAGAGACCTTTGTAGATGTTATGAGTAGGTGTTGAGGACCCTTATGAATAATTGGTAGATTTTTCCCCATTAGTTTAGTATTTTTAGGTATTGCCTGAGATTGCCTGATGATTTGGTTTGTTCAGTGGGTTATCTGTTCGTCTTTGGGGTTCATTCTGAGGAATTTGTTGAGGGGCTTGTGTTGCCTTGAAGATATTGATGGAGAGCATCATGAAGAGGGGATTGGAGACCAAGATTCAGAGACCCAGAGCTTGTCTTATCTCCTGTCTGTGAGGTTTGAGAGCCTGAAGTTTGAAGGAAGTTCATGGTACTTTCCTGAGGAAGGCACTATGAATGACTTTCATCCTTCCTTCTCACCTCTTTCTTAAGTATCCAATGATGTCGGAGCCAACTTGTGAGTTTAATTTCTCCTGAGGAGGAATGTAAACTGATCACATGTTGTTGAGCCACATGGGATACAACTCCTAAGTGGAAGCCTCCTAGTACTTTCCTGAGGAAGGTCCTATGAGTCTGTTCACTTAGTTCCACTAGTTGATCTAGGATTTCTTAAGTATCCAATGATGTCGGAGCCAACTTGTGAGTTTAATTTCTCCTGAGGAGGAATGTAAACTGATCACATGTTGTTGAGCCACATGGGATACAACTCCTAAGTGGAAGCCTCCTAGTACTTTCCTGAGGAAGGTCCTATGAGTCTATTCACTTAGTTCCACTAGTTCAGATAGAATTTCCTAAATATCCAGTGATGTTGGAGCCTGCTTGTGAGTTTAATTTCTCCTGAGGAGGAATGTAAACTGATCACAGTGGTTGAGCCACATAGGGTATGACTCCTGAGTATCCACCTCTTAGTGCTTTCCTGAGGAAGACACTATGAGTCTGATTGCTTAGCTCCCTTTCTTTGGTAAGCTTGTCCTGAAGCTTGAAGATTGGGAATGATTTCTCCTGTTTAGAGTTTTGCTTGAGAGCTTTGCTTAGATTTGATTAGATCCTGTGATTAGGGTTAGGATTAGAGAATAGATGATTCTTTCTCAAATGTGTTGGCTTGCCTGATGGTGCTTCATTTCCTTTATCTGT